CAGACCACTGATGCTGTCATTGGGATTAGAGAGAATACGCGGCAACATTGATCCGATTCATAGCAAACAATTTCTCTGACATGTGCATCGTACTTTATTCATTGCCCATTATTCGGGATATGGGTGAGAAATTTGACTTTAGAGAGTAATCGGCTAAAAATCAACTCCACTTCCATTACTTATAACAGTATACCATACCAAAGAACAAGTAAAACTACTAATAATGCATATTCACAGAATTTGTTTCCACATATTTCATTTTTCTACCACCGCAGACTTTTACCAAGCAAGCTCGAAAATAGATTTTTTTCGTTGGAAACGGATAGGGGACTATAGCCGTGTCTGTTATTTAGCTGTAGATATTACTTTCATACAGAAGTTTATTCATTTGGGCAACAAATGTCAGCACGAAGTGGTGAAAGAAGGCACAATTCCCTCGTGGTATCGGAAAGAAGTTCAATGCCGCACCGTAGGTAATAGATGAGTGGCACCAGTAACACCCGTGCAAGTATAAGACGACTAACGTCTTTTGGCCACTGTTGCACTGAAATCGCAATCGTCGTTGCAAGCCTTCGTGGCATAATGAGGTGTTGCTCGTCGTCGTCGTGCTGTATAATTTGTCTGTTAGACGATTAATAGAGGTCGAACAGGGTGTTTGAATCGTGCTTTCTTGCTTCTTTCTGGCGTTACGTTTAGTATAGCTGTCACTAGCTTCTTACCATGGTTAGATGTCATCCAGTGCATTCGAGGATCGATGACCGGTGTATGTTTCATACTGACCTGTCGCCTTTTCCTGTTCTCTTTGATTTTCCCATATCTCTTAGAAGAACCTATAGGTCTGAACCATTCTGTAACTTCTCTAAAGTCGCATTTACATATTACGACTCATAGTAGAGTGTGTATTGTACTGTATGCTTTTTCGAATTTTGCCATGGATGCATTTATATTGCATCTGTGATCAGAAGTGACAGGTCCCCTGTTCCGCTCCTTCGATTACTGCCAAAGATAGAAATCGGCTCCATCGCCGTTGTCGAACCATTTATCTTTGCGCCATCCTGTGGTGGCCCAAGTAGTTTATGAACTTCAGTTTTAGTTGACATGCTGCTGAGTCGACCTTGTCCAGGAGTAGCTACGACGAATGGCATTAATTGTCATTTAAACGTTGTCAGTTAGAACGGTGACGGAAATCCGAAAGTTTGTGGTTCAGAAGCGTAGTGTATTATACACTTTATATTCTTTTATTCCTTAATGGTTTTATATCTTAGAGTTAGGCGAAGAAAGGGGTGTGAATTTCGAATGGTCTGAAAATTTTCAAATTAGAAATGCGTTTGTCCTTTAAAATTGTGCACACGCAGAAATGAAATTATCCTACTGTTCAAGTTAAGCATTATCTTGCGTATGACTTTTACGAACAACTAGGAATTTCAGTCTTGAATCGGAAAATTTCCCTAAGAAAGCCTTTGCGAAGTTATGTACTTCTGCAGAGCGTCATGTCGGTAAAATCGCTCATGGTTTGACCGCTCGGTTAACGCACAAAAACGCACACACATTTAGACGTGTCGCAGAATTTCCAGATGTGCACAGGGTATGCACCTGTGCGGTCTTACGCTTTTATGCGGCAGAATCTTGAACGACAGCTAGAAACAGAGTTGACGGAAGACGTGACCGTCGGATTAGGTATTTATTAGCAGCCATTGTAGGGTTCTACAATTTTCAACGGTTGCCGTTGGCGATGGCATGTACTGACCATTTGAAACACTGGAGATCCTCTTTCAGTCACAAAAATTTGGACTCTGAAATAGTGATTGGATGATATTTAGGATGTCGCCTGCAGTGTCTCGGTGTCGTAGATTCGCGCTTTGTTGTAGAACATAGTAAGAGTGGATGGTTGCCAATGAAACCTCGACGCGTACCGAACAGGGTTGACTAGCGAGGCAGCTGGGCGGAGACTACTCACGAGGGCGGAGCAAGCGGGGCCGTGGCCGGACGGGGCGGGCAGGATAGGAAATAATCAGAGCGGCAGCGGATTGCAACTACGAAATCATTGTCGCGCCGTCATGTTCGTGACTGAGTGACCACTGCGTAACAGCTGTCTTCGCCGCTGTCGCATTACGTCATGCTTGTGTTGCAAGTTGTAGAATTTACGTGAAATTGATCACGTCGGATTTAGCGTGCTGTTTTCTTCAGGGTACATTAGCGATCGTTTAGGCGATGACTGTGCGCACTGTCTGAAAATTTTAGCCGTTATAAGATGTCACAAAATCTTATCGTTAGATCTGAGAACGCGTTTCTTTTCACTCGCTTCGCTTAGAGTGTTTGCACAAAGATCGATAAATCAATCGACTAATTGATGAGTGCTCGGCTTCAAGTTTGTCGAACAACATTAATAATACAAGCGACGCAGTAGCGAAGGCCAACCAGATAATCTGGTCGCTGGTGGTGGTGCATCAACGACGAATGTTGTACGTAGCTTAGTTGATAGCCGCCGAGTCTGGCCAAGCCAGATCCGCAGCCTTGTCAGATTTCGGGTCTGCCGGTGGCCGATGATCGACACCGTACAGTTGTGCATGAGGTGCAAAGTTGGTGGTTGCGTCAACAACAACTTTCATACCTCACGTACTGACCGGACCGGCCCGGCCCGGCCCACCTGCCGGTTTTAATCTGCTGAATGACTGTTCCGTCGCGTCGCGCCGCTGCAGCCACATGTGACCGATTCATCGCCGACGAAAAGCTCATTTGAGTGACGTACAAAAAATGCTTAGTTATTAAAGTTCGTTGAAAACTTGTTCACCAGGGTTAACAATCGATTTGGATCACTAGCGACACATCGGATGAGCGAGGCGCTGCTCTGAAACACTAGAGGGCGAGTGAAGTTGGGTGGAGCGGCTCAGAAACCGACCGTAGTAGTGTATTGGTGGTAGGCGTGCGATTCAGCATGGCAGGTCGAAACAGAATGAAACAAGCGAAGGTACTCGTATGCACAGTGCTGGACACAGTTGTGGAGACACTTATGTGACGAGTATTGTGAAGACGTAACAAAAAGATGCAACATCTTTTCGATGAGAGTGACCATCCTCGGAATTTTAACTAATCCTATTTCGCAAGCGGATCGAATCAGTGGTTGTTGTTATTCTTGCATTGCTGAGCACGCGCATGGC